TACTTAAAATTTTATAAATACATGATAACACCAAGTGACGGCCCAGAAGTTAAAGCGCCCGCTTCTCATGCATGAGAGGCGTTCAGAGTTCGAAACCTAGCATCTACCAATGTGACTTTTTCCGAGTTAAATGTACGTTTTATGATTATTTAGACACCATTGACATACGGTAAAGGTAAACACCGTGATTAAACCTGGACTTATAATTTCAAATTATAAGTTTGAAATCGCCAATCCACCTTGAGTAAGCATTATGATAAATGCTGAAACCTTTTCTGTGAGAGAAGAAGCCTTTGCTCGGCAGTGAGCCCTTATGGGCTGATGATATGATGTCATGTGATGTTATCATGAGTACTGTATGTGTGAACATAAAAAAATATTTGTAAGTTAGGCTTCTACATATGTTTCGAAACCGTTGGTCAGATTATGATAATACTTTCTGTCGATACTAACGAGATTTCCTGACCGAAAAAACCTAGGAGAATGCTAATGGAAGAGTCAATATCCAGCAGTAAATGGGAATCAGCTGGGGTTGCGGGGCAAACACAATTAATACCGCTGCCTCGGCCTAAAGCAGGAGAAGGAGCGGGGGTGATTTTAGTCAGTAAGAGTCAGACACTACGTCTCACCTCACCCTGAACGAGAGAAGTGGATGATCTTCCCCTTACAAAAAATATTTTAATCGGGAACAAGATCCTTTCGCAGATGATGATGAAGATTCCGAACAGCACCTTATCTATAACATAATAAGACACATTATAACATGATAACGCCCTTTGTTGCTACAAGCTTGCTAATACAATCACAAAATAACAGTGAGAAAGGTGCAGAAGCATAGAGGTGCGGGCGACTATTAAGCAACCTCTTTGGTCAAGGCAATCAGCACTTCTTGACATATCATACACATTGCCAACACGTAAAATATCTATGTTTATAAAGACTACATTTGCGAAATGAGATATCGCCCTATATAATACTTACATTTATTTAGATTTTGCTCAATAAAGCATCCCTTAAGAACTTTTCTTGCCAAAAATACCAAAAAGGTTTATTATGTGTGAAAATAAAAGCTATTTTCGACTGAAAAATTCTTGGCCGTATATTATTTAAAAAAAAGAATTATGTTAGAAATATCTCAAAAAAATTCTATCTAAATTCAAATCTCTCCTTTTTTGCTAAAACTTTTCCAAATAGGTTTTAATGGCTTTTTAGCGGCTGTGTTTCGAAAATCAGTCATGAGATGATTGCCATCTAGTCTCAACAAACCACTAATCTAAGACTTCAAAGTTTTGGTGTCTTAATGGTTGTATCAACTTCAGATCCTAGCTGACAGGAATATTCGAAGCAATTGACGGGGGTTTTCTAATTTAAAAAAACACGTGTCAAGGCACCTAACGTGAAATACCAGTGCGGCGGAATGCGTGATTATTTTAGCAATTGCGTGATATTTAATGGCTTCATTTTGTACTACGATACGTGACACCAAAACAATTAGAGCGTGGAAATTAATATTGTTATTATTATAAATAAAGTTAGCCTTCGACAGGTCATTGATCTTTTGGTTCCTTACGATAGAATGAATGTACCTTCTCAATGTAAAGGGTCTTGAGTTAATTGTAAGAAAAAATTACGCTGGTAGAAAATGTTATAAGAATGGCTTTGCCAACCACTTTCAACAAGATAATACTTATATGTACTAAAAACTTGTTAAATAAATATGTATTATTTTAACGTGCCCCACAATAGGTTTTCTTATGTGTCGCCATTTATGGATCACACAAATTGTTTTTCCGAACCCGCGATAAGTTGCACAGCAGCCAGTTGCCTATCCACGGCCGTTTAGTCAAATTTTTTATACCACAGACTGTGCTAAATATTAATATTTATTTCTTAATATGCATACTTAATAACTAGGTTAACTTTACCTAACAAATTAGGTGATTTATATTCTGAATATTTCATTAAAAACTGTCGATACGTCCAATAATCAAACTTTATTTTAAATTAAGAAGTTTTAAATTACTTAAAGAGTTGGGGTTGTTTTTACACACGCATTTAAAGGGAAAAACCTGCACAGCGCTTCATGTGTTATTTATTTGTTTTCTGAGTTTAAAAAACATATTAGTATGTGAACAGATGATCCGACAGAGAACTAAAGTTATCGACAATGCCCAAAGGATTAGCAAACTGAAGTGGCAGTGGGCAGGTTACATCTGTCGAAAAACTGATGACCGCTGGAGTAAACGTGTTTTAGAGTGGAGACCACGTCTAGGCAAACGTAGTGGGTGGCTGGCAGTGGTTGTATGAGAAGAGCTGAACATCGAGCTTAGTGGCGTGCAATTGGGGAGGCCTATGTATGTGGACGACAACAGGCTGATGATGATGATGATGATGATGATGATTAGTATGTAATATGTTTTCTTTTGCACTATACTGCTTTATAAGATATTATATTATACTATTGAATCAAAATCAAATGCAAAGTACTATTCCAAATTAGATCACATACATGCAGTCTTGAAACGTGAAAAATAGAATCGTCTATCCGTCAGAGAAGTTAGATTCTCCAAAACACATATTTGTATCGTACGTCGAAAATTCGTTCAAAATCTAAACAGAAAAGAATGAGCATAAAAAATCTTTGTTACACTAAATAAAAAATATTTGTTTAACAAACTCATTGATATATTATTTTAATTTTCTATCGTGGTAATTCGCGACACAATAGAAGAATAATATGTAGGTGCGCCGGCGTTCGATTGGGGTTTGATAAATTAATCCAACTTAAAATCTATAATTCAGCAAACCAGGCCAGTTTTAGATACATATAGAAGATACATATAGAAGACCCACCTAACACTATTGAACCTAAGTATTGGAAGGTCAGTTCCTCGGGTCATTCCACCGCTGCGTGACCGCCAGCGGACGGAGGATGCCAACCAATATCTAGGAACTGCGTACGCAACCCACGATTATACTAGTTTCTACCTTCCGTTATTAGCAAGCGATAATCAGAATTAAAGGCCGATTGTTGTAATCGTTGGTGATTTGATACCACGGCTTCGAATCCTGGCGCATCAAGTAGACACATCACCAGAATACCTTGCTTTGACTGCACGGTTGGCGCGGTGGCTTTTTTTTGTCAGGGGAAAATCATCCAATGATTTCTCCCGCCCAGGGCCGGGCGGGAGGGAGTGTCAGACTCTTACGACTAAAAACCCTTCTTCCTTCTCTGGGCCGAGGTCGCGGTGCCTCATTGCGCTTACCCCGCAACCCCGGCTGAACATTAGCCCTATAGGCCCCGTCTGTGGTCTGTGGTGGAGTTCTTTGTGCTATTTTGTGCAGGATGCAGTGAAATTCATCGTTTTTGGTGTTTTTGGGATCCTTTGTAATTCTTCCTTAACAGAAAGCTTGTTACATAAAATCCTTGTTACACCTCTGATGTTGCGGGTATCGTTAGGCAGCCCGTTACCATCAGAAGGTACACGTGATCGTTTGCTTCTTATTCCTAAAAACCGCTTTAAATAAAAATCTAGAATCAATTTATTAACTAGCCATGAAAAATTTGTATTGTATAACATTGTGCTACTATTGTACTTACTACTGCTTGTACACATTATGCCTAAATTATATAAAAGTTGTACCAGCAGATTAAGTGTTTAAGTCACGCATACATTAACTGCAAGTAGGCCAGTTTTAATAGCTCATATCTAAACGTTCTTTACGCACAGATTACACAGATTTTTTATAAAAGTATAATATGAACTTTTATCGATCCATCGCGATTATAGAAAAATGCAGCCTATATTATTGGTCCGAAAGGAACTACATATACATAAAGGAAATACGTATAGCAATGGATCTCCACAGGTGGAGACCAACAGGGCTGAAGTTGTAGTTTAAGGCCAAGCGCAATAACGAACCGCGGCGTTGTGTTTCGCCGTGTGAGTGAGGTCCAATCCTTCTCCTTTCCATCCCCCATCACAAATCCTTGAATTTCCAAAATCTTTAATCCCCAAAAGGTCGGCAACGCTCTCGTAATCATTTTGGCTTTGTAGTTGTCAGAATAATTGCCTACCATCAGGTAATCTGTATGCCATAAAAAAACAAAAGTTAAAAGAGTTCATGGTCATAAAAATGCTAATACAACAACACTAAACAACGAACTAGTCTGCCGTCAGCAAGAAGCGATGTCTATACTATGTCGTATATTTAGTTTAGTCGCACAATAAGTGGAGTCTTGCACAATTTGTTAAGTGAACACGTATGTTCAGCAAATTGCTTGTAGCCTGGCCTTATAAAGGTCAAACTATTACAATATCACTGTATTTTAACCATGACATGGAGAGCTGTATAGTTTTATAGTCCCATGGTATGCCAGTGAAAATGCTGACAATATACAACATTGAATGTTTTGAGGCATTCTATTTGTAGCCAAAATTTCACGATTATCTTTGGTTTGATATAGATTTTTGATGGTAGTTATTCATTTTATTTTTAGTAAAATAGTATATATTTAGAGAGTAGTTATTTAGTTTTTAAAATTTTATAATAATGTATTGTACTGCATTGGCACAACATAGATCTATTGTCCTTGTCTAGAAAATTTTGAATTAAGAACAGTTATTCTACCGTTACTAAAAGAACAAATAACAACAATAGTCATCCATTTTTTATTGGTTTCGATGTTTCTGGCGTAATTTTTTCACAAAACCCGTTTTAACGTAATAATATGCGTAACCCTACAAAAATAACCTATTGCGTTTTCAAATTAAATAAAACGCAATCATTAATTTATTTTCAAATATAATTTAAACATCGTTTATAAAAATACAATTTATCACAAAATTGTAATAATTATACTTCTACGTAGGTATAAAAGTTTTGATAATTTACTTTTATAATATAATAATTTAAATTTACACAACCGTCTCTTTTTTCAAATTTGAATTTAGAATTCTAATTACAAAAAAAAAACAAATGTTATTTAAAAAAAATTAGACCAACGTGCCATTTACAAATATAAAAAAATAATCACATGGTAAATTATTTCAACGAGTATAAATCACAGTGGGCTTAAAAACCTAAGTTATTCTAAGTTAGGAACTAATGTCTAGGGTTTGGGGAAGAGCTGGTCAAGCGTGAGTCCGTCCACGATGTTGTTGGCTACTTGAAGGAGGTTGATCGCTACTGTCTTCTCAAGATGAGGTTTGGTCGCCTTGAGGAACTCCCCTCTGTTCTGATTGATGGCTTGGTTCGCAGCTTCACCTGTGGCGTGGCAAATATTTTTACTAATTATGACTGACTACTACCTAAATATCTCATTATTTAATGGATGTTATTATACATATATTTCCTTTCCTTAATCACTCTATCTTTAAAACAAACAGTACCAAAATCAGTCGCGTAGTTTTTAGAGAGATTAAAGTATAGGTAGGTATAGGTACTCGTACATTGGGATATATATTCGGGGACAGAGAAAGTGACTTTGTTTTGCATAATAATGTGGTATACAAAAATTTTGTGCTTTGTGAATGTGTATAAGAAAGATTGGTGTATTTCAAAATTAACACAACTTTTACAAGAAGACCTTTTGGCAACTAGGTCAGGAAATCACTGAGACAAAAAATTTCCGCATAGATTCTCTTTTCTTCAAATTAATTATGACTTGGTTTAACGAACTACTCGTAGGTTACTTAAGTTAGCTGTGGATTCTACTAACCTAAAGTCCTGTCTCCATTGAAGAGTCCGTCCAACTTGAGCCTGTAGTCCTTAATGTTGATGTCAGCTTCGATCTTCTTGAACTTGATGTACTCAACTCCGTCCTTCGTGACAATTTGCGAGTGGAACAACAGCTCCGCATCACATTTCACTAGAAAGAAGGTTTCATTGTACATAATGTTTGTATATTTGAATTCTGATTGAATATGAATGATTGGATACAGAAAGCCCTGAATAGGCAGCAATGGAAATCGTTGGATGAGGCCTTCACCCAAAAAGGGGTTCTGGAAAACATACCAGATACTGAACATGAAACATATAAAACTTCACGTGCATTTAAACTTATACAAACAAGAAATACTATAGGTAAATTTTTGTAAAAAATAAAATTTTGTTTAAGTTTTCTTTTTTCCACGAAATATGTACGGTTTTTATTTATTTTTTTATTTGAATTCTACACAGTAATATAGATTTTGCATAAGTTTTTGCGTCGTGGGGTAAATAAAAACAGGTCTTTTAATCCAGTTCAGTCCATATAGTTCAACTGATTAAAGCAATTATGGACTTGCATTTTGTAGACCATTCCACACAATGCATATGGTATAACATAAACAAGCCTTTCTTTTGAATACAAATGTTCTACTGTTTCTTCAAGAAAATGGTACTTATCAGCTGTAGGTACGCAACAAATGTAAGTTGTATTATTGGAAACCTTACCAGCATCAGCGTTCATCTTTCCCTGTCCTTTCAGAGGTACTATGAGGACCTGAGCATCCAGCTTGTAGTCTCCTTCGAAGTGCAGCTTGGGGAAACGTAGTCGCACTCTTATCTTCAGTGTGTCAAGGTCCACACTGGAACAGATAAAAAATTATACTTTTTTCCGACCAAGGTTTAAATAAATTATTTGATGATTACTGATCGTTTTGCAAATTACTTTTGATATGCATAGGTTACTTAGTGTAGGTATGCAAAGATTAGGTCGGAATCTTATAGATATTCTTAAAGGAAAATGTATCTCTTATCTTTATTTCTCAACGCAACGAAAAGTTTTTATGAAGTCTCATTTTTTATGTGATAGCGAGGAAGCTATGGAGTTTTCAAATAAGAAGAACGCGGAAAACCGATATGACATTTAAGAGTTATATTTAGTTTCTTAGTTTATTTTGCATCCATTGCTATATGATGAAGAAAAAACATCGGGAGGAATCTGGACTGATCATAAGACTGAAAGAAGAAGAAAAGAGGGTAGGAGCCATGTAGGAGCCAAGAAGAATAAGGAAAGTACCGATGTGACTTAAAACAGTATTCTTTTGCATTGACATTATGGTAAAGGAAAACATCGTGAGGAATCGGGACTAAACATAAGACTGAAAGAAGAAGAAGAAAAGAGAAGAGGGAAGAAGCCTTCACTCAGCAGTGGGCACTTATAGGGTGAGATGAAGCGATGTGATTTTAGTATTTGGACGAACAAAGATTTTTCTTGTAGTGTCGCGCCAGGATTGTTGCTCAGAGCAAAATGTTTCACGAAACATATTGTATACTATTCATTCGATATCTAATATTAAGTACAAGTTGTATACAAAAAGTAGATTTAGAACCGGCATATTCTAAAAGAACTTTAATAGTTACATCTATGTTTTTATATTTATGGCTTTGTGACTTCTATTACGATACTGTATACGTTATAAATAGTAAAATAATAATTATTATTTAATATAGCACGAGCCTAAAGAAAAACCATGAGCAATATTCAATCAGACCGCTCAATGTGACAAATTTAAATATAGATGGCGTTAGTGGTATCGCAATACAGATAATAAAATATATAGTACATATTACTTAAATGTCAATGTTTAAAGCAACTTATCCAAATTACTTTTTCAAATTCACATTATCATATCTAATAACAAATTGCATACGTCCCTGACACCACAATAAAACCTACTCAGAAATTGAAAAAAATAATAAAAATCTACAATGATACTTTCCCGAGGAAGCCATTTACTTTAAAGTCGAAAACATATAGGAAGCATCCGTTTTAGTAAAATCGTGAGATTTAAAAAGTACACTTACGACAAGCTCTTGATAACGAATGCGCTTGCGCCTGTTACTTTAATGTTGTGGCCACTCGCACGAATGGGAGTACTGTCCGATGTCAACGCTTTGATCTGAAAACGAGAATAATACGAATGAAGAGAGAGAGTCTTTTGATGACTATCCCCTCACAAAAAGAGTGATTAAGATTTAGACAACCGGTTTTTGAAAGGCTTGTCAACGCTAAAATTAACTAATCTCCTGTCAAGTCATCTGATTGGTTGTTGATAATTCAGTCAACCAATCAGATGACTTGACAAGAGATTAAATTGATTTTAACATTGATCGGCCTTTCGGAAACCGGGTGTTAATCATTATCATCACTAATCCAGTGAATATTTTGCAGCTGGTAATGATGATTGCTGACTATACTAAAGCTTCATTGTACTGTAAATTACAAATTATGAAATTGAATACTTGTAATAATTGTAATATTAAAAAGGTACTTTTCTATGAATTTGGTGTGAAACCGCAACTTAAGACGTCAAAATGTTGACACGTCAAAAAGTATACGTATATATTGAGGTGGAAAAAAGCTAAAATTAAGTATACCTTACTGTCAAATCATCAAATGGTGATATTTATACCTACTGTAATTTTCTGTTCTGTGTATTTATATGACATATTTATTTAAGTTATTATTAATTTAAGAAACCATTGCAATGCAAGTTCAAAATAATTTACTTTTGACCAAACTAAGTACTAAATTTTTATTGTGAAACGAATTGAAAAGAGTAACCATGAAGTTTTTTAGCTAGTTCTTCTAAACTTTGGAACGAGCTAGCTAGGAATAGCTTTACTCGACGACTGACTGAAAATTTCAATTTCGTTTTAAAGCTTTTGTTCAATGTCAAAGTCAAAGTCGAAATCATTTATTATTTCAATTGTATCTACAAACAAAGCTTAAAGATAAAAAGTGTCAGTATGTCGGTCAGTCCTCTTAGTGAAGCTATTTGCTCGTTCCAAAGTGTAGATTCAGATGGAAAAGAACGAACAAGAAACTCCATGGCTACCCTTTTTTTTGTTCATTTTGCTTCTCGTTAAAAAATCTTATAACAGTCTAATTGAAATAAAATTATGTGTTTTTATCTTTACATACCTCATTTATGACGAATGGCTCTATAGAAGGCACGTCCAACTCAGGGATCCCATTTGCTAACTGTGGTCGGAGTGCTTCTATAGACTTAACGACGCAGTCATTTATCGTAGCCGGGTCCCTCTTGCAGACGTGGATGTAATCGGCTGTAAAAAAATTAAAAAAAATGTTTAGATTCAAAGATATTTTTTCTTTAAGTTGGAAAATGAAAATTTGGTATGTTTAGTCCTATTCAATTCTAGACGCCATTTTTTTATTTTGAAAAAGGACGTTGCCCTATACTATTTTGGTGGTACTAAGTTGGATTTTCTACTTGAGTTGGAAAATCTCCCATGACTCATGGGTGGAGTCATGACTTGCGTTAACCCATAGGCTGCATCTATCAACAAACCACTCGGTCGATGCCATGGACGGAAGCTAGTAAATAGAGAATTGATAAAAAACCAGTGCCCAATTTCGGAGTATATCCTATGTCTGTGCCAAATTTCATTCAGATCCGTCCAGCCGTTTTGGTGTGATTGAATAACAAACATCCAAATATCGTAATTTTCGCATTTATAATATTAGTAAAATTAAGCACTGTTTAAAAATCTTCGTATGGGTCGAAGGCTCGTTTTTTATTTGCCTACATGTGATATATTTAGATTTGTGTCAGTCTTTTTTTGTCTAATGGTTTTAAACAGGTTAAATTAAAAACATAGCTTTATTTGTAGCCAAAAATTCATCAGACGACTTCTCTCGCCCAGGGTAAGACGAAATCAATGTTGGACTCTTACTGACTCAATTCCTCAAAACCATCGCATTCCTTTTCCTTCTCCTGCTCCAGGCCTTACTTATTGACCTTCCTGCGCAACCCTGGTTTAAGTGTAAAAGACTTCTTAACCACTTTTGGTATCAGCCGGGGTTGCGGGGTAAGCGCAATGAGGCACCGCGACCTCAGCCCAGAGCAGGAGAAGGAACAGGTGGTTTTTAGTCAGTAAGAGTCTGACACCCCTGCCCTGGGCGGGAGAAGTCATTTGATGATTTTCCCCTCACAAAAAAAAAACACTTTTGGTATAATTAGTTTGTCTTTCTAATCAAGTCGTAATTTGAGTTAACTGCCAGAACTCAAACAAGCCTTATATTGTGAATTTATAGATAATTATTCCGAAACAATAACAAACTTGTAAACTGCACTTTACTTGGAGATTCAAAGTAATTAATGGAGGTAATCATATACTTGAGCAATTAGTATCAAAACGACACGGACCTTACACTTGAAAATAACATTACAACGTGCTTATGTCAGACACAATAAAATTACTTACGCCGTAATTACAGTTCACAGTATATAATACCTTATTACCTGAGTCAGAAACCACATATTACCTCGATACAACAATGGCTTATTATTATAATGAACAAGTTATGACCTACTCATTCTTGTTGACAAGTTAGCTAAATTGTCTTATTCATTTTTGCTACAATATGTCATAGTGGAATGTGCAACTTATTATTATTATTTTGTATGTCTTTACCAACCATGGTACCACAGGGTCCTGGTTATCTGCCAGGGCTGGGGGCCCTTTAGAAATAGGACACAAACCGGCGACTATCCCCAAGGACAATCCCCAGTTAGTGTAAGACAATTGCAGATAATGGAAACAAGGGATAAGGCTATGTGTGGGTCGCTATGGACTAGTATGATGGGAACTATGGAAGGATATTGGCAGCATTGCTAAAGTAAGCGCTGCTGTCTGCTAAAGTAAGCGATCGGCGCCGCCTATGGACACGGTTTCGGATATTTACAGATTTGGGCCTCCGGTGAAGTCACTTACATGGTGAAACATAACGATGTGGTTGTTTAACGCCGGTTTAAAACTTAAACTTTTTATGTCGATTATATTCATTTCGTCTTAATCATCAGCACATTTACACATAAAAGTCTTTAGCTGTCACGGATAATCTAATGCGTTCAAACGAATGATTTTTATCTTTGATATTCTCAGAAACAACTGCAACGATTTCGATAAGATTTCGATTTCGAAGTTTCGAAAAAAGTGCCAAGCATTGCCTCACTACATGTCATAATAAATAATGCTACAAATAAGCAGGAGGAATACCTAATGGTAAGCAATCGGCTCTGTCTATGGACACCCGCTCCACAAGGGCAGTTGGAAGCCAATTTCCGGCCGTTAAAAGATAAGGGGCTTTGGGGGTTTTAAGATAAAATTTAGGCTGAAACTCAATACTGTGTTTGTTTCACGCCGGTCTTATGTGAGGCCGTGGGATGACTCTCACGAACTCAATGAATCTTAAAAACTACTAACTTATACTTAGGGCTGGTTTTTCAATGGTCAGATAAAAGTTACCTAGGGAGTAATTATGATGCTGTCGCGTCAGAATGTTTATATAAGACAGTGACAGCAACAATTTTATCCGACATATAACATTTATCTGGCTATTGAAAAATCAGTCCTTACTTGAAAAACTAGTCGTAACTATTTATCTTAGAAGTTGAAGGAAGCAACTAAGTAATGTAGTTTGTTATAATTTATAAATATTATTACATGTACAGAATTACAAAACTATTAATTAACTTGTAATTGTTACCGTTACTTAATAAAATTTACATAAAATATATGTAAAACACGTCATTGTACTGTAGAGGATTTTCCTAGACACTACCGGTACTATTGTGATGAAATATTTATATGACTAGATAATGTAAATGTTTTATAAATTCATTGTTTTGTTTTGTATATAATTAGCATTGTCATAAGTAAGTACGGTTAAAAAATAAAAATCAAATTCTCATATATTTTGTGTAAAAAAACAACTAAGCTCGCAAAAAGACAATTTCGGAAAATGGCGCCAACCGTAGAATGTAAGCAGTTTTGTTCACCCATTCTGGTAGGCAAAGGGAACTGCCCATACAGCCAAGTCTTTAGTACTTAGGTAGTATTTTTTATTATAAGAAATGAAATTGAAATTTATGATTAAAAAATTTTTTTTTTTTTTAGTTAAAACTTCATGGTTGTTTTTTATAGAAATTATTTTGACCCGTTGGGAAAGAAAACGCACGAGTGTGTAACACACGCCACACGCCACTTTTTGAGCAACTGTATTAAAAAACTCTTTTCACGCATTTTTGGTCCGAATTTGAGCGTGATGCGTTTTTGAAATTGTTTGTTTGTAAACGCATCCACGACACAGGACAAAATACTAGTGCGCGGATACGTTTGTTTTTTGAACCAATAATATGATGGAACATCGAAGCAAAAATAAATAAATTACAAATAACATTCCATAAATTTAAATGTATCTCGTACATTTTGGCTATCCACACATTGTGCCCTAAAAGTGCAAGGAAAAATCGTTTTTAAATACAAGAATTAAAAAACACGAATAAAGCATAATTCTGTGAACTATTTAAATCGTTGTGACAAATTAATTATTAATAATAACAATATCTAAATTGCACAAATAATTATTTCATTAGTCTAGATTTCAATTTCAATTTCGCATGCATAATTAATTTCTATGAAGATTCATAATTTATTTTATACTAAAACAATATTACTGCACATAATACAAACATTATATATTTATGTATGTTATAATTTATATATAATTATACTGCATTAAAACGTCATTTTATACATAGTTAATTTATTCATCAAAATCACAATAATATTAAATCTATCTTGACAATGTCAGAATCCATACTATCCATACTTCCATATTATTATATGTATTATAAAATTATAAATGCGAAAGTTACTCTATCTGTCTGTTTGTCTGTCTTTTCTTCACGCCTAAACTACTGAACCTCTTTGTGTTAAATTTGGTACAGACATAGTTTGAAACTCGAGGAAGGACATAGGAGTTTTTATACCAAATATTGGCAGGATGACAGAACCAGTGTGGGTACACTAACATAAAAAAATTCATTTAGGAATAATAACCTTAAATGTTTGTTTATTTCTGTAACGAATTATTACCAAAAGGAGAGGCTGTAGATTCAGTTTTTAAACTAAAAATCTGCAGGAAGTCACTATTCCACGCGAACAAAGTCGCGGGCATAAGCTAGTACCTACCTATTAAATAAAGTATCTGGGCTTGTAAGTGCATGCGCAATAAACGACCGCGGCCTCCGCCTGAAGCAGGAGAAGGAACGGGGGGTTTTTGCTCAGTAAGAGTCTGACACTCTCTCTCGCCATACCAACTCAGAGCTCAAGAAACCTTGTGACAATATTACCCTCATAAAAAATATTCTAACACTCCCTTCGGCAAAGAGATGATTTTAAAAAAATAATAGAATTTTAGTAGACTAGCTAATCTCGCGCGGTTTCACCCCCTGCTCAGCTCCATTTGATCGTAGCGTGATGTTTTATAGCCTATATATAGCACTCAGGAACACCGTAGCTACAGGTCAGTGAAAGAATTTTGGCAATCCGACCAGCGGTTCCAAAGATCACCCCCGACACACAAACTTACAAACATACAAACTAACAAATTTTATCTCTTTATAATATTAGTATTGATGTCTCATATTTTTTGCTAGTTTTATTTTTAAGTAGGTACTAATTTACCTATTTACTTAATGGCGATTTTTTGTCCGGTCTGTCTGTCTGGTTCCGTGATCCGACTAGACATAATATAATTTTCTAATATTACATGAATTTTTTTTTGCAAAGTTATAAAAAAAAACTTAATGAAGCTGGTTTTTCGTACTCTAGGAAGAAATGCCTAAACAAATTCAGAGCTTCGATCAAATATAGAATAAACGATCGAAGGCTAAAAGGTATAAAGTTGAAGTCTGTACGTTTGTTTTTCTGACCTGCTTATCTTTGAAACTACCTCTAAATAACAAAATAGTTGATTTATCAAAAACGTACCGGCTTCATCTAGTTTTTTACATATAAATTGACGTGTCAAAGTGCAGTTTTATGGCCTATATGCAAAAAATGTCATTGTTTCATTGTATCGTGTATTGGGAATAAAACATTATACTACGACCAATTACTGCACGGGAGAAACTAGTTGGGAAAACAAAGGGGCATGCCACAAGACCCATGTGACTCCTGCATGAGGTATTGTTGTTAAAGAAGCCAAAAAGGGGAAGTGCTAAAAAGAGGTTTACATTTTATGTTTAACATTCGATTTCTTCTAGTGGCTTATAACCATATTAATATAGATCCAAAACATATGTTATGTATAAGTCAAAAATAATAACAAAACATCATTTTTAAAAAAAAAACCTTGCACCAGTTTAGGATTCTCTCCTGTGTTGTAGGTACAAACATACAATTTCACATAGGTACACAACACACCCAGACCCGGGCGGGAATCGAACCCGCCACACGTTGCACAGTAGCTAGTTACCCAGTCACCGCGCCAACCATGCAGTCTTATTTATTATTAGTTATTCTTTTGTCTATTAATATTTAAATACCACACAATAATATATTCATGAAATAACTGTTTATTAAAAACTAGGAAGTAAATATAAGAATATTTAAATGTTCGCGATAGCGTGTTAGCCATGATCTTCGAAGGAAACCTTGTAAACTAATATTTTGCTTTAATTTTATAGTTTTTACGAGGAACTAAGCTATTGACAAGATATTTTGTATGCAAATGATATTGTTATGTAGATTTTTTTTGTATTTTTCTTGTTTTCAACTTCACCTTTCCCAAGCCAAGTTATAGATTATTTCCGGCAAGTATACCTACCATGTACTGAACTATAACACATAGGTACGAATAAAGGATTTAAATAATATTACATTTATCTGCATATCACTCGCAGACTCTATTTCTTTCTTCCTTCAAAATTAACTTTTCTGACCCTCTAAACCTTCGCAATGCTTCCACGAATATTTTAAGACCGAAACTAACCGACCCAAATCAGATAAGTAGTTCTTGAGATTTAGCGGGACCGAAAAACAGCATTACAAACTCGGGAACATTAAATAGTAATTGTCAAAGTCAAATAAAAGGAAATAATATAGTCACTATACATAAAGTAGTGTCAAGTAAAAAGTCAGCCAGCAAACAGTCTTTTTTTTTGCTGATTTGATTAATTTATACCAGCAATATTCGTGGAATTCTAGAAAAGGGTTTAGAAGTCAGAAAATATTGTTTAAATATAAGCGAATTTGCCGGGTCATTTTAATGTTATGTTTATTTAGTATGTAATTTATAGGACAGTCGCATCTTTTTTTAAATTACTCATTAGGACTTTCGTTGACTAACAAAAAACCAAAGTTATTAATTGTTAAATTGCGAATGCGGTTTGTTTTAGCCTATTTAATTTTACTTGTTAAAATAAAAATAATGTTTACGAAAACTTCATAAGTTTAATCAATCATTTTAAATTATAATTTCCTTGAAGCATATTTACTTTTACTGCTTATTAAATAAAAATTTTAACGGATTTCAAATCAAATTCAATAATCCAGTAAATTAAATCCAAGCGTCCTACTGCGTGCATACGTAAAGAAAAACTTTCCAACCCAAAAATATAAATTATTAATTAATTTATTTTTTGCAAAATGTAGACAGTTATCTATATAATAACTAAAATACATCACCCTCTTAGGACGCAGCAAATTAACTTAAAACTAAGTAAATATTATATATTTTTTATCATTACCTTCTATCCATTTCTTAATTACATATTTCTATTACACCATACGTTATTATTATTAATTAATTAATAAATCAAGGAGGAAAAAAAAAATACTCACGAAGCTCTTTGGATAAACAGCAATTTAAAACACATATTAAAACAAAGATGGAACTCAAAAATCTACTGAGAATATACATTTTGCACTGAGCACGTTCAGCCGCGTATTAGTAGCGTCTCTCAAAGACTCACAGGCACTACGCGACGGCCGGAGATCAATTATATTATATACCTCAAGCATATAAGCGATGCGAAAACCAAGGTGACCAGTTAGGAACATATAAGTTTTATATATAAGTACATTGTGTCATATAAAAATGCTATTAACATACCAAAAAACTGACAGCTCTAGTGGAAACTAGCAAAAAATTTATCTTTATCTTTGTTTGTGCGTAGGTACATATGTTATAGATAACAATTGTTTAGTAGTACGAGTATCTATAACAATCATAATTATATAAAATGTTTCGTTGTTTTGATCATAACTATATTTACGAGCTGACCCGTTATTTGCTATTAAAAAATAAGGGTTGATCGTAGAAGAGTGAAAATTGATAATTGTATGTCTTTTTGTATGTTGTATCATAAAAAAATAGAAATTAAAAAGTGTCTAAAAAATACAAAATAAATTTTGTGGTGGACTACCCCTAACATTAAGAGGGATGAAAAATAGATAATGGCCGATTCTCATAGATACCGGATAAGCACAAAAAATTTCATCAAAATCGGTCAAGCCGTTTCGGAGGAGTATGGCAACGAACGATGAGACCACGAGAATTTTATATATTAAGATTTATTAAATAAAAAGTTTACCAAGCTTCGATATAATGGAACTTTTGCTAGTTAATTAGAAAGGTTGACTCTTCTATTTCCTGAATAAAAATTATTTCAATTTTATTAAGCCTATAAATGATATTTATACACACATCCAACTTATTACCTGCACTCGTTCCAATATTTAGTTCAATAATGTATATTAAATAATGTATTGGTGAACTTCTAAAACGTAATTTTTAAAAAAGAGTGACGATGTATGTTCTATCTCGTACTTCTCCATTTTTACAGTTTGGAACGAGCACACTGTTATTCTACTTTGGGTTTCAAAAGTAAACTATTTATGGTTAAGTTGGAATAAATGATTTAGATTTTGATTAAAATAATCTATGTATAGTTGTAGAAGAAATCATAGCCATATTCTGTAAAAAAAAAATACTTTCCATCGCTGAAACCCTATATTGTCCAGGCCGAAAATCTTTACTGTCAGACCCTTTTTTTTACGAGGGGAAAATAGTCAAATGACTTCTCTTGCCCAGGCTGGGGCAAGAGGGAGTGTCGGACTCCTACTGACTGAGAGAAGGAATGGGGGGATAAAATCCCTCCATTCCTTCTCTCAATGTTGTCTCAATGTTTTTGCTCTTGGCGCTTACCCCGCAACCCCGGCTGAACATCAGCCCTATAGGGTCCCATCTGTGGTGATTAGATGATTTTCCCCTAACAAAAAAAGTTTTCTGTCTATTATTTTTCCCTGTAAAGGGTTTAGTTTCAGCTCATCTCACTCTGAAAAGGAAAATACTGTGGACAGTCAGTACAATTACTTTATACGAAGTTTTTTGGCCAGTCATGCTTCGGCACAAATGGGTCGGCTCAACCACAGCGATAACACAATCCCTAAATCTCAAAAGACCTGATTCCCAAAGGGTCGGCAACGCACAATTCTTAACTTCTTCTTTGTTCTGGGTGTCTATGAGCGCTGATTGTAATCCGTCTGGTCGTTTGCCGTCCTATCACATACACAACACCTATCGAACGACCTGAAACACTACTCATGAATATGAAACCCTAGTTTGGTTTGATACTCTATTTTTTTTAATTTGTTCCGTACTGAGATTTTCTTCTTTGTCATGTGGGTGCGTTTACAAACATACAATTATACATACAAATCATATCCAAACCCGGAACAAATAGTACATTTTTGGAATCCAACCCGCGACACGTTGCACGACAACCGGCTTCCCAGACACCGCGTCAACCGTGCAGTCCAAACTAACCCATTTACCCATTTCTTTATCAAAATCAAAATCGAATCAATCCATGAATAAGCAAAAAAACTCTACGGAAAAACACGATTGTAATAAACGTACCTAAATAACTTAGAACCAAAACTATAATAAACAAATTTCAGATATATCTTCTAATCTATTTGAGTATTGTTATTAAAAAACTTAATTGTATGCAAAAAAACTTCAATAAAAATAGCCGCAAGAAATCTTAATAGTAACTAATTAATATAAGACGCGCGTCATATTACTAATCGGAGCCCAAAGAGTTCCGTAATAAAGATGAATAGACAAACATTATTTTTTTTAAAACGCATATACACACGCAACACGAGCCTAAATCATCTCACAGATTATTTGTAAACGGAGGTCCATTTTATTTTAGGTCTCAACTGGAAGACTAGCTGATGAGCAAATGTTTCAATATCGTATGTGGAAGCTTACCAAAAAATAATTCTTAGTAAAGAATTTTCTGACAGGCTATTAGGGTAATATTTTTGGACGGCAAACGACCAAACGGATTACCTGATGGTAAGCGATCAGCGCCGCCCATGGACTTCTTTAGGACATTAATTTCAGACATTAATCTAAGTGTGGGAGAGCCATGCTAAGTGTGGGAGAGCCATGCTAAGTGTGGGAGAGCCATGCTAAGTCTGGGAGAGCCATGTTAAGTGTGGGAGAGCCATGCTTCGGCACGAATGGGTCGGCTCGACCGGAGTGATACCACGGCCTCACAGAAAACCGGCGTGAAATAACCACTGCGTTGTGTTTCGCCGTGTGAGTGAGGTTACCGGAGGCCCAATTCTTCCCCTACCCCAATCCCTTCCCAATCCCTTCCCAATCCCTAAATCCCAAAAATCCCAATCCTTAAAAGGTCGGCAACGCACTCGTAACTCCTTCTTTGCTGCGGGTGTCCATGGGCGACGCCGATTGCTTACCATCAGGTAATCCGTCTACTCGTTTGCCGTCCTATCACATAAAAAAAACATTAAAGGTTGTAATGTTTATGCTTTATGATAAAATAAATTGAATCCTCTTTGTTTTATTCTTTATTTAATGCAACGGATTGCAGTGGCTTTGCAATTGGTTGCTGTTTCAATTCCCGCACAGAGCAACTGTTTCTGTGAGCCACAAATTGCTAGTTTGGGTCTAGGTGTGATGTGTACATTGTATCTTTGAAAACGGACTTACACCACGAATCAGAAGAAAATCCTAGTTGTATTACTTGTATCGCACTTCTGAAAAAAAGAGCCAAAAAAATAATTTGGTTTTTTTTAAGGTGATAAAATATTATAACTTGTACCTAAGCATATCTGCCTACCCTTTAGCTGATTAAGAATTGTGACGTCATATTACGTTATTTATAAAAAAAAATGTTTCATTACATAAGCTGTATGTAGTTAGTCATACATAACTCCATACAAAAGCCTACAATTATGTTTTTTACGCATCCTTGTGGAAGATTCCGCATGTGTGTGAATGCTTTTTTATTTTTTAGCTATTAATGTTTTTCCCAGTGTATCTCTATGATTCTCTTTTATTTTCGGTTCTATGTACAAAACATCCTAAAACATTCTGTGCAGTCATTGTATCGCGGCCTGACTTGACTTGACCAGGAGAAGGAACAGGTTTTTAGTCAGTAAGAGTCTGAACTTTTTTTTTATGTAATAAGTCGGCAAACGAGCAGACGGATTACCTGATGGTAAGCAATCAACGCCGCCCATGGACACCCGCAACGGAGGAGTTACGAGTGCGTTGCAGACCTTTTAGGTATTAGGGATTTGGAGATTTAGGGATTGGGGAAGGGTCCGGGAGGGGAAGGATTGGGCCTTCCCTCTCCCCAAGGCGGGAGAAAATAATATTTGAAGATTTTTCCCATCCAAAACAGCTGTCTTTACCAATCATGGGACCTCCATAATTACTGCCATTTTGGAGGTGTACGAGGGACCAAAGCCAACAGCGCAGAGGTCCTTTAGACAACTTGAAATGGGACACAAACCGGCGTCTATCCCTTTATATATCCCTATGGAAAAGCACTCAAGGCTATTTATATTATCTAGCTTTTGCCTGCGACTTTGTTCGCGTGGAATAGCGAACTCCTGTCTATTTTTGTGTTTAAAAACTATCCTATATCCTTTCTTGAGTATGTCCAAACTATGTCTGTACCAAATTTCATGTAAATAGTTTCAGTAGTTTAGGCGTGAAGAAAAGACAGACAGACAGAGATACTTTTGCATTTATAATATTAGTATGGATATAAGTACAACGTATAAGAACTTTGTACCAAAGATGTAACCATTGAGCTCATTTTGGGGTTTTTACCTCTGAAGTAGTCGTGGGAAACTGTTCATAGGTCTCAAAGGTCGAGTGAAGATAATGCTTGAGATGTGAAAAATAATAAATCAAGCCTTACAAAGGCATGACCTCTAAGGTTTTATGAATAATACTTATAGGTACTGCCATGGAAGCAGGTAGCAATGCTTCTTCAATTATTTTTTAAAAAAAGAAAGGAATGAAGTTACGTAATGCCTAACTTCATGTGATTTAGTCTCGAAAAGGGTGTGATTGATGTGAAGTTGAGTATTAAGGGTTTAAGGATAACTAAGACTGACATTTTAGGTTATTTGTATTTTAAAAGTGCCTTTTTGCATAAGTCCTTAAGCTTATAAGTTTAAAAAGACCTTTTTTAATATTTTTTTATGTAATAGGTCGGCAAACGAGCATTCTGATTACCTGATGGTAAGCAATCAGCTCCGCCCATGGACACTTACAACGGAGGAGTTACGAGTGCGTTGCCGACCTTTTAGGGATTTGAAGCTTTAGGGATTGGGGGAGGAAAAGGATTGGGCCTCCGGTAACCTCACTCACACGGCGAAACACAACGCTGTGGTTGTTTAACGACGGTTTTCTGAGGGGTCGTGGTATCACTCCGGTCGAGCCGAGCCTCTTCGCTAGTGTATATTGCTCATAGTTTTTAACATTATTTTTTATGTCATAGTTCGGCAACCGAGCATGCGGATTACTTGATGGTAAGCAATCGTTACGAGTTACGAGTGCAGCCTTTAGGGATTAGGATTCGGGGGATTTAGGGATTTGGAGATGGATGGAGGGTGGACCTTCGATAAGGAAGAATGTTTGTCCTCGACAGCTGTTTGATTTGTTTTGCTTCTATTATAATATTGGTTGTACCA